ATAGCTGTCACTGACAGGAGGTCACTGTGACCCAAGGCATTACTGCTGCTTTAGAAAAAGGTCTTTGCGGTCTTCTGGTCAGCAACGGGGAGAAATCTCTTGCCCTTTGTCAGTCAGATTGTTAAGCAATCGGCCCCCCCCCCCCCCCCGTAATTTATGCTTTTGTTTCAAGTATAGCAAAAGAATACCATATTTTCACTGCATTCAGCTGTGGTGTGCTTCTGAGCTATACATGTATGCATGGAAGGCTCTTCCACGAGAGGGCAATGCAGGGACAACTAGAAACTGACCCTGAAGTATGTGATTTGATGCACCACGGTAATCATGTCATGTAAATTGAGGCTGTAGTATTGACCCTAAAACTATCTGGGATCCATTAGAGTAGAAGGAGCTTTTGGCAGAGAAACTCTACCCTCAGAGTCGTGAGTAAAGTTCTTTTGTTATTTAAAACTTTAAGTGTATGATACAGATAAGACACAACCACATTTTACCTTCAAGACCACAAACAAATGATCAGCCAATCAAGGAAAAAGTCTTACCTAATTTATGTTCAGAGGTTGTTTCAAAGAGTTGTCCCACAGAATGTAGCTTCGGTACCAGAGAAATACAATCTACTGTAGCAACCTCCAAGTACATTATATAAAATTAATATTAGTAATGAGCCATACATATATTATCTTGGTATCTGTATCTTAATGTTCAAGTAAAATAGCTTTGGGATTTTCCAATAAACTGTCTTGCTGTCTCTGTAAAGAAAGCAAATAGCTATTGGTTATTTACAATCAAGTTGTCTTTCTGATCTTTGCCCGTGGAGTACTCTATGTTTATTTCTCATTTTGACTTTGTGGTTCTCTCTAATAAGAAGTAAGTCAAGATGGACTTACTAAGTTTACTTTTCTCATTACTCATATTTTGCTAAGTTGCTGTTCATGACACACTAAAACCTGTTAAATGATACGAGATTAAATAAGGCTATTGGCTGTTACAGATGTAAGTGGGGGGAGCTGGGAGGAGGGCAAGGAAGGATTTGATGTGTTGGTAAGCTTTTTAGACTTTTTGTTTAGAATGCCTAAGTTTTAAGGGAATGGGGGGGGAAAAGAGTTTGCTAAATGTTAAGTTCATTTATTTGCATCTTGGTTGTTTCTAGTTGTTGGTGAAAAGGAGAAAGCAAGCGGAACAGTCAACATCCGCACCCGAGATAACAAGGTGCATGGTGAGCGTACAATTGCAGACACTGTGGAGAGACTGCTGGAACTGAAATGCTCTCGCTCCAGACAAGCTGAAGAGGAATTCTAACACCATCTGCTGTACCTGGCATAAAAAAAAGATTCTAGTTTTCATAATTCAGTTAAACACA